AATCTTTTAAAGATTCAACCATTTTTACTGGCCATAGACATAGGACCAAAATTAGAATTAATGAATAACCGAAACATGGAGAAAGCAATATATATTATATGTATGTGTATATAAGGTTGTATATATATAGACACTAGTATATTAAGAGTTCATTGTAGATAATTAGGTGCGGCATATCTAAACATATATTAAATACAAGGCATACAATTGATGTTTGCTTTAGCCTTAATGGGTAGTGTGACATGTTTTTAAATTATATATGCAGCAAATGCATGTTTTTCATGGCATTCAATATAATTTTGATTTTAATGTTTTTAAGATGTATGATTCAAGCTGGCCATAGTTATACATATATGGGAGATTAGACATCTACATATAATAAGATGTATAGCATTGGCCTTGTTAACAATAAGCGATATAAAATGCTAAAAATGTATACAAATTTTATCTATATCATGGTTATATATTTGCAACAATTTTTTTGTTGTCGTATCACACATTGAATATTTGAGTAAGCAACAATACCATAAAATAGTTGAAAATATAACTAAATATCACAAAGAATTGCAGTCATTGTTGTTATGAATATAATAGGAATTTGCAATGATAAAAATTATCATTATATAATTTTTTTTATTGGAAAATTTGTTGCAAACAAAATAGGTTTGTCCCAATAATATGTTTTTATAGTTACAATATGATAAAAAATTTTCTAATAGTTTTAAGTCATTGTATAAGATATTGAAAAATTAAATTAAGTAACAACATTGACAAATTGTTGCAAATAAAACAAGTTTTTGCAACATCTTGATGTTGTTGTTACAAATAGTATAAGAATTCTTTAACAACTTTTTGTTGTCGTTATATAAAATATTAAGAAAATAATTTAATTAATGACATTGAAAAATAGATGCAAATAAAACAAGTTTTAACAACAACTTGATATTGTCTTGCAAAAATTATAAAATTTTTTGTAACAACTTTATTTGTCATTGTATAAAATAGTAAAAAATAAATTAAGCAACGGCTTTAAAAAATTATTGCAAATAATAAAAGTTTACACAATAACTTTTTATTGTCATTACAAATGTGATAAAATTTTTCATAATAATTTTTTGTTATTGCATAAAATATTATAAAATAATTTAAACAACGATATTAAACAATCATTACAAATAAAATAAGTTTTTGCAACAACTTTTAGTTATCGTTACGAATAGTATAAGAATTCATAACGATGAATTTTATCATTATATAAAATATTAAAAATTTTTAATTACACAACAATTATAAAAAATCATTGTAAATATATCAACATTTCACAATGATATTTTCTATTGTTGCAATAAAGGGTTGTTATATATACATTTTCTTTGTAATGTAATATACGTTGATAGTTGGCTATTGTCACTACGATCACTATAGGGTCATTTTCATTATTCACTAGGATGTCAATATCTTCTTCTAAAAATTGCACTTGTTAATCTTTGACTCATTATTTTTTGGGTGCAACAACAATGGCCATCACATTGTGTAGGTGCAATTTACACTTGGACTTGTTATTGGCCCAATTTTCAATAGTTCATACAATGATGTGGATAATGCCTTGGATTAGGCATTTGCTTGCAACTTTTTCTTGACAGGCCTCCTCTGTTTGGTGGGATAAACCTTTAACTTACTGGCGATTGATTGATTCATGGTTTTGTCAGGATGAAGGGTTACTAGATTGAGATTTAGATTGGGCATTTACCATGTTCTCTAATCTTTCGATCTTCTTTGGAGAGTAATACATTCATTAGTGGAGTGTCGTCTAATTTTATAATATATATAGTGTCTTTTCGATAGTGGTTGGTTATCTGGTTGTCTGAGTAAAAGTTTTGTTTGGTTGTTTATTTGGGGTGGTCATTGGGCTAAGCATTGTGTGATGGCATTTAAGATCTTATTTTAGTTTAGGTGCTAGTTGGACTATGTTTGGGGGTTTTTGTTATTATTGTTATTATGTTAATATCTTTTCCTTATTGGTTGTGAGCCTAACAGTTATTAGGAAACTGTTAGCTCGATGTATCAATCTGTTTGCTCTTTGCTTATGGACGTTTTGACATTGTTCATGTCGTTCAACCCTATCTGCTGCCTTAATTACTTCAATGTCAGTAAATTTCTAAACCCTTTTCATATAGTTGATACAGCTGTTCTTTCTTATTTTTCGTTAACAATTATCTCAAATGATTATGCCTTACCCTTGAAGTGAAAGCCTGAATGGCCCACTCAGCATTCAAATATTTGATCTCTAGAGGGTGGTGTTAAACTTTTTTAAATACTATTGTAAAGTTTCCTTAGGCTTTTGGTTTATGGCCAATAAACTAGTAGAAGAGCATACAACAATACTACTGCTAAAAAAATATGCCAAGAACTATCTACTTAAGGCATCAAAACTGTCTGTAGTAGCAAGAGCTAGAAAATAAACCATATCTTAGCTCTCTTATACAATGTTTTAGGAAATGTCCTACACTTTACCACATCAAACACATTATGCAAGTCCATAAAAGTTTTAAAGTGGTCTAGGTGATCCTCTGGATCAATGGTTCCATTGTGCATATCTGTTGGTAGTTTAAAAGAATATGGGACGTTGGCTTATCTAATGGTGGGGATAAAAGGGTTGTGGTCATCCTTCAGCCACTAAAGATATTAGTTTTTATCTTTTTTAAGCCTAGCTAACTTTTTGTGCAGGATAACGATTTACACAACTAGTTTATTTTCTAGGTTAGGGTTTGCATGTGTTTGATTTAGTGTTTGGTCATGATGGTGGGCCTTGTTATGCACTATTTGAAGGTAGCTTTCTTTAGGTTGGGTTGCATTCTGAAATGGTGCTAGTTCTTTGAAAAAGGATGTTGAACTTTTTTTAGGATGAGGTTATTCTTGAGGAGATTGTTGAATGGCTTTTTAGTATTGTTAGGGTAATCTTAGTTGGGTTGCCATTTAGGTATTTAAAGTTGTATCTAGGCCATAAACGTTTGATAAAAATCTAGTAGTGTCTGTATGATTGGTGGGTATGTTGGGATTTGTGGACATGGAAGTGAGACATGCATAGTGGAAGTTACAGAGAGAATATTTAGCCTGTGGCCAACATTAATGGGTTGTGAGGAGTAGATATGTGTTATTGGTAGTTGAAGAACAAGGTTTGAAGGTCCAAGTGTTGTAATATGGACCAACGGTGGTGTTAGTATCATGTTCAAAGATAAAACTCCCATTAAATTTTGATAATAACCTAAAGGTTGTAATGCCTAAGCATTTAACAAAGGTTGACTATTGGAGAACAGAGAGTTCCAAAAAGGTAAATTTGGTGAAAGAATTTGATAAGGGGTCGGTAAGAAATATGTTACCTCAATAGTAGCTAGAAATTGAGTAGTAGCATTAATGGTGGGAGTTGGCATATCAAAAGAATGTGGTTGGTGTGACATGGCTGTTGTTTCCCATGGACGGTGCCAATTGTTGATGGTATTTTTTGATATCTTAGCAAAAGGGAAGAAAATGAAGTTAAAGGGAAAAACATTTGTAATCTACAGTCAGAAAGTATGATTAGAAGGCCTCGAGTTGTCATTTCAAGATACGCTCTGATGTTCAATTTAGTGTAATGCTTAAGGTATGATTAGAAAGTAAGGTAAAGGTTAGGAAGATGGAAAATGGTGAAGTGTGTGGAAAAAGTTATCTTAGAGAGAGAGTCAGAGAGGTGTAGGTTTTTCTAATTGTTGTGTACCTGGTTTTTCTTTACCTCTTGTGCGAGATCAAAGGTGATGATCTAACTAAGATGATTGACAGTTGAGAGGATGTTTTTGTGGAGCTCGATGAAAGTTAACAAAAATGAATGAAAACCGCATTTAATGATCTTAGGTAGGCATGAGCTGTATTTAATAATCTTGAAGCGGCATTTAATGATTTAGGGCAAATTGGTGGTTTATTGGCCAATTCCGAAGTAACTACCTTGATAAGCCATTAGTGAGACCTCAGGTGAGTTATCTCCTTAGAGTAGGTAACATGGTTGTTTGGGCATGTCTTGATTGGGCAACTTAAGGGTCTTGTTATGTTAACTGGTTGGCTTAGGTATAACAAGAATTGTATCCTAACCAAAAAACTAAAATTAAATTACAACCATAAAATTTAAAAAATTAAAATTAATTTATTCATTTTCTTGCTCTCTATTCTATGAAAATTTCAACGATAATCTTTTACCAAAAAAAATAGGAGCTAAAAGAAAATGTTAACAAAATTATAAAGTAATGAAAGCCTACAGGAGTAAAGCTAAAAAAAAAAAAAAAACAAAGCATAAAAAATGAAAACTCAAAAGGTCCAGACTCCTCTTTCATAAACTTTGTTTTAATATTTGATCACAAATTTAGGTTGAAAATATGAAACCTATAAAATAAGATTGAGAACTGTGATTCAAAAAAACTCAAAAGGATTTTAAAAAAAACAAAGATTTAAGAATATGATGAGATTTATTGAGATTGGTGCTAAACTTTGAAATGGAAAATGAAGGAGAGATGGCACCCGTGTGAGTTGCAAAAGAATTAGGATATATATATATATATATATATATATATTGAGAATAACTTGTAAATAATTAATTATAAATTATAATATATCATAAAATATTAAAAATAAAAAATTTTTTGATTAAATTTATAAATTACTAAAATCAAACATAAAAATATACAAATTTAATTTAATTGATAATTTAAATTACTTGAATTTGATTAAATAATAACAAAATTATATTCAAACTTTTTAAAATTGAACTTTGAATAATTTTCGACCAGTATTACCTCATTTACATCTTAAGTTATTATCATACAAATTTAAGGACAAGTTTCAGCCCGTCATCGGCTACCCTCTCTTTGCTTCCAAACAGGCCTTTAAATCGCTATACCCAAAACGCATTCGTTTCACCGGTAACCCCAAAAAGAATGGGTCAAATCCTCGATAAATACCCCCTTAGGCCCTCCTAAGTCATTTTGGATCCAAGGCCTCTCTCTCTCTCTCTCTCTCTCTCTCTCTCTCTCTCTCTCTCTCTTTCTGGATCTAGAGCGTCTCCTCTCTTCAAACCCTAATATGAAAATGCCCCCTCTGTCTTAATTTTTTATTTTTCTAAACAAAAGCAAAATTTTCTTTTTTGGCGGGACAAGTGGAGGATTTTCAATTAAAACACCTAAGATTTCAAAACCCTAGCTACCAGTTTTTCTTAATCCGATTCCGATCGTATTCGAGCTAGGGTTTACTTTTTCTTTCCCTTTTCTCTTTTCATACCGTTCGGTTGTTGGTGAATCAACAGATGTCTCGGTGTTATCCGTTTCCTCCACCGGGGTACGTAAAGAACGGTATCCGCGATGAGGCACTGATTGAATCGATTAAGGTTTGTTGAGCAAATACCCAATCGGCTTCAATGCTTTGTTGGGTTCTTACCCTCTTTGCTCGACTGCTCTAATTCGCTTCTCCCCAATAGTTATTTCGTTTTTTTATGTAGTAAATTATTGCTATGGCAAGAAAAAAAAGAAAGAGAGAGAGAGAGAGAGGGAGAGAGAGAGATTTTGTATCCGAGAGGTGGGCTTTAGGAAGAGTTAGGATTTTGTACCTTAATACCGAACCAAGATTGGATAAACAATCGAGCAATTTTCGTATGTAACTGTTTTCTTAGCGTCCTGACCTTGTTTTTATGGGTTTCTTGTAAAATGAATGGAGATTTACTTTAGTTCCTTAAAGTTTAACAACGAGAAATTGAACCCAAAATTATGCAAGACACGAAATGATGCTGATTGTTTACTGTTTCACTCGTTTATCTGGAGAAAGTGCCATTCCTACTAGTTCATTGTCTATGTAAGAACTGTGTGACTGTGTTTGAGAAAAAAAGATTATGAGCTTCTCTTAAAGGTTAAAAAAAATTGTTAAGGCATGAACCAGAATTTGGTCAATCCGTTGTTTTGTCATCTATATTGAAAGAAGCATGGTGAAATGTTGCTTGAAAAAGAAATATACCTTATGCTAAAGCTTCTTGTAAATTTTTACAAAGAATCATGCAAGTTATATAATGGGGAATCATACAATAGATTATGGCCTTTTTTTCTCGGGAAAAGTGTTGTTAACACATCTCTGTCTACATCTTTATTGTTGACTCATTTGTTATTAGTAACATAGGGAGAGGTATACTTTCATTTGGACATGCTGTTGTTGAAGTTTGGTTGTAGGACTGCCTGTGTTCTTTCACTGCACTTTTGCTTTTGCTTTTGCTTGTTTGTATTGGCTTCCCCAGCATGTTCATAAATTGACTGTTTCTCGGGTGATCTGAAGATTCAGAGAGAAGAAAAGAAGGCCAAGAAAGAAAGGAAGAAAGAAAAGAGAGAGAAGAAAGAGAAGAAACGGGAGAAGAAAGACAGAGATAATGTCCGGGACAATGGACAAATTGAAAGTAAAAAACAAGGTCATAAGAAAAGGCATAAAGATGAGAGGAGCCAAGATGATAAAAAAGGAGGAGATCATCATAAGAGAAGAGATAATGAAGTTGAAAGTTTTGAGAAGAGTACGCTTACTGAAGAACATGGTCATGCAGTGGGACCCCAGAACTCTTCCGATAGCACCCTTAACAGCAACGAAATACAGAAGATCATCTCAGCTCCTGACAGTGGGCATATTCCTGGTGAGTGTGTCTGGATCTCTTCCTTAACCTAGGGAAGGCTGTTTACTTGTTGGGTTTGTTTGCTTCACATGGGCACTCATATTGTGTATGTTATTATTAATGTGAAGGAAGCATTATCCGGATCCGTTTGCCTTCTCAAAGGCATAAAGATCCTGAAGTGCTGCCCAGCAAGGAACAGCCTTGCTCTACCTCAGGAAGGATTGATGATTCCTTTGTTCAAGCGATGCATGAGCATGCTTCTAGACCAGGCAGAGAACTGGAAAAACGTCCTTGTTCTACTTCCAGTATTGGACGATCAGAACTAACTTTCAAGCTCAGCAAAGAAAAACCTTGCTCTTCTTGCGCATCAGAAAGTCTTGGTAACAAGGCTGAGGCATTTTTGCCATCAAACTTGTGTGGCAGTTGCTCTCCTACGCTAGCTTTAGAATTCAAAATTCTTGTGGAGGATTGGGTGGTGCCTACACTGCAGACTGAGTGGACCAGTTTTGGTGATGAGGACTGGCTGTCTCAGAAGAAGCAGAATCTCAATGGTAGGGTTGAACGCAGCAAAGATGGAAATGTTGGCTTGAGTCAAATGAACTCAACAACTTGGCCACATGCTTGCTACTTGCCCGAGGCTGATATATATGCTTTACCTTTCACAATACCATTCTAAAATGTGTGCAGAGGAAAAGGCGTGCAAAAGTGCTGAAAGGGGTGGTTATGGTCTTTGTTCTTGGTGCTGAAAGTGTGAAGTGTTTGTTGCCGGCATTTCAGCTTCTTCTTTCGTTTGGTGTGGGGACTTGGACCTCAATTGACAAGGATAAATTTTGTGCGGCGACCCTTACAGGAAAATGGCTACAGAGGCTTTTTCTTTTTTATGTTTTATTGGTGAAAAAGAGTATTGGTGAATCAGAGGTTCAATTCTTTACAGTAATACGAGTATTATTCTTTGTTCATGATCATGTTGTCCTTCCATCTATCACCGTTTTCTGGTAATGATTTTTGGGCATTGTGAATGGTAAAGTGCTTGAATAGTTGAATTTGCATTATCAATCATCGTCCTTTGGCTTCTGCCAGAGGGCAGGACTGGTTTGGGAAATGACGTGCAGACAATTTGTGAGATTAGACTCGAGCTACGGGTGATGCTGGTGAGATTGGTTGAGATTGGTTAGATTGGAAACAGTGGAAGTGGAAAAATTAGTTATGCAGTGATGATATTGAGATTAAAATAGGATATGTATTTGGATGAAAATACACCAAGAGTAGTGGGATGAAAACACACCAAGAGTAGTGAGATGTCGTAAAGTAAAAAAACAAAATTGATTATTAATGATATTAAATTAAAATTTGTATACATTAAAATTTATAATATATGACATTTTATAAATTAATAAATTATTAAAAATTATTAAGATTATTTTATATTAAATAATATATTTGTTAATAAGTTGAAAATTAGTAAAATTATTTTTTATATCAAATAGTACTTTTATTAATAGATATTTGAGAATTATTCTTATGTATATATGTTAATGTTATTTAACATTTAAACCGTAAAAGCTTTATTTAATAAATAGTGAAATATTTTTTAGATTAAACTAATATACGAAGGCTAAGAAATGTTGTAATTATTTTTGAAATTTGCTTTAAGTTGAAGTATTTATAATAATTTGCTTTCATACACTTTTAATATCATATTTATAATAATATTTTATTTCTCAAATCCATTGCAAAAACTAACAAATTTAATTATATTAACATCCTCGCTTATTAAATTTTGAAATAAAATATCAAAATGAAGAAAAACATTTAGACATCGTCATTTAAAAATTCCAACGTATAAAACAATGAACTTGAAATATAATGGAGGCTCAATTTTAATTTATGAAAGACTAAAATTTATACAAAATATAAAAGTTATCTCAAATTATCTTGCTTTCAATTTAAACCCAACACAGTTTTGGTATTAAATATAATTTTAAGATTAATTTTGTACATACAATTAAACTTTAAGCATGTCAGTGTCTTTTTTTCAGGTGTAATAAATTTTGAAACAGTTGAAACTCGCCTTTTCCACATAATTGAAACCAAGCAGATGCATAGCCGATGGCAACGTCTGTCCAAAGCATACGAATGAATTTTTATAATTTCAAAAGGCAATTTGGTTCTTTCCTTCCAAACCTTGGTTGTATTGGAGAAGACTGAACCTCAGTAGTAACGGAGAGACTGAGAGTTGATTAAAGAAAGAATTAGAGTAAAAGAAAAAACATTTTCAGACAATAGAGAAAGGGGAAAAGAGAGAGAAACAAAAAAAAAAAAATGGAAACAGAACAGAGAAAGGGAGGTGGAAGAAGATTTGTTTGTATTTGAACGATGACAGGAGAAAATATAGAATAAAAAGATCAGATTTTTGGGGATCGAGAGGGGGAGGTGCAGATTGTAGGAAGAGAAAAGGTTGAAGCTAGTCAGCTCATTGACAGGAGCCGAACGAAGTTTTCTGGCCGAAAATGGAGAGGAGAGAAATAATTGAAAAAAAAACCAAAAAAAAAATAGGGAAAGAAAATTTATTGGTAAGATGTTTGTTCTTTGATTTGATTTTTGCTTATTTTGAGGTTTTTTCTCTTGATTTTGTTTTGTTTTGTTTTTTTTTTTTTTTTTTCAGATCAAGAATTTTCTTTCATTGATATAAAATTAAAATAAAAACTTACAGATTTGTGAATTTATTTATGCATGTGATGTTTGACAGTTACCCAGTAAAAATGGAAAGAAAATAAAAAGGCAAACAAGAACTCTGAACAATGGATGATCTAGTAAAGAGAAGAATTGCAACAAACTACTTCCCTCTTCCGCATATAAGTGTAAGTTCACTTTGAATATTTAGGTAATTAAAGCAAGTTACAGGAAAGCAAAAAAAGACGACTGCAAAAATACAGCCATTAAAATATTTTACTTAAATAATTTTTCCAATACAAGAAAACAAATTAACTTTATAAAACATGAAAAAGTTTAATTAAAATTATGTAATAGACTAGAGCGTATGAAAAGACAAACCCATTAGACTATCATTATTGTTTCTCTTAACATTGTAATTTCATGATCACTTTTTTTATAATTAATAAAATTTGATTCATCCGGATCAAAATCACTTTTAGAAATTGGCATGTCAGACATGTTTTCAAATTCTTTAAATTTTCATCACTTGATCCCGTGTGTCCTTGATTGTAATTATGCAAAATCATTGTTGCATTTATGATCAGAACTTATCAAATAAATAACTTGAATATCTCGTAAAATTAGCCCTTTTTTCTTCTACACTCCAAATGTTCATTTAATCATAGAACACAATGAAAAATGTGTATGATTAAAGATTTTTTTCTTGATATCCGACAATTACCTCAACGAAAATCAAGTAGATAATATCGTTTTCCTTTATAAGGTCCAAAAACTAACTATTTGTGAATAGCCTAAATCCTCATGATAATATTTAACTTAAGAAGCAAAAGATGGAAGGTGATAGCAGTTGATACTACACGAAATGATGTAAATTTGACATATGAACCAGCTGCTAGTGGAATGTAGACCACATTTGAAGCTCATGATACTCTTATCTCTACTGGTAGAATCCCATTCACAACTGGACATGACTTGTCTCTGAATACTGGTATGGCTTCAGTTGCATTCATTGAGCTCCTCTTTGTCATAGAATTTGTTGCTCAGTTTCTAGGCAAAGATATATTATCAAGGCCATTGTCTAGTGCTAGTCGAGTGAAGAATAAAAAGCTACACAGAGGAGTGAAAGTAGAGGTAACACATAAAGGGAATGTATGAAAAAAATACTATGTTTTAGGACTGACTCCTCAACTTACTAGAAAACTAGTGTCTCGTGTTAATAACAACTCAACAATTCAGCATACACAATCAAAGATTTAAATAACGGTCACGATCATCAAGGTCATCGCAGTCGTAAATTTTTTTTTAATTTTGCAAAATTTATTATAAAATATAATAATTATAATTATAATTATAAAAACTCTTATTTAGTGATTTTTAAAATAGTTTATGATACTATATTTTTTATTTTCTAAAAAAAATTATTCACAATTTTATTTAGATTATAATAAAACATTCATATTTAGTTTAGCAACAAAATTTTTGCTTGAGCTAAGTTCATATTCATTATCAATTCTAAACAAAACAAGATATTAACAAAACATAATATGTTAAATACCAAGTATCTATATTTAATAAAATTACAAACTTAAAAATATAATAATTTCAAATTCTGTCAACTCTAACTATTGATATATATATTTCAAAATTTACCACATGATAGAATGATGGGGAGGATCAAATTCTCTATTTTCACTTTGAGAGTCAAGTCAACTCCATCTCATCTCTGTGGCCTTTGTTCTTGATACATTTAAGGTAGATGATATATTTGAGGATGATACATTTGTGGTGGGGGATATATTTGTGGTAAATGATACATTTGAGATGGAGGATACATTTGTGGTGGATAATAACCATATATAGGTGGATAACCATGAGGAAGTTGAAAATTAGGTTGTTCCAACGAGTAGTAATGTCCTCGATTACTAACATATGATTTACTATACTCAAAGTTAGTAAAATTTGGTCTCTTACTTGAAGATGAAGAACCTTTAAAAATATCATAATGGTACTTCTTAGCTTTTCCTTTTGATTGAGCTATATATGCACTTTTACCCCCATTAGATTCAGCAGATGGATTTACTACGTATTATGCTATGTTAATGAGAACTCCATTAGTAACAGTAAGCCCAAGTTCTCCTCTAAATGGGTTGTAAGGTCAATTTGCATCCATATTACCACCAAAATTTGCAACCATCATCATCACCATCATCTGGACTTAAACCCCTACCATTATTACTTTGACTTAGTGTTGGATTTGAACTTGAATGAAACACATTCCTTTCTTGAGATTGACATGATTGTTCAACATTCATTTCATTATTAGAATTATTTGTAAGCAACCAAGTAGAGTTTTGACCATCTAACAGAGGATTTTCTTTCTCTTGCAGTCATTTTATTAGTGGATCATCATCTTAAAAAACATGATCAAGGCTAATAGGATTAAAACTATTATTTATCTCGTCAATGCTCATTTTTTTTTATGTTTCATCCTCAGCTTTATGTTGTAATAGGTATATACAAGTTTTTGAAGTTTTCAAACTTCAATTTGTTTCTTGCTTTTGTGTAAATATACCTAAATGTGCTCCAGTTACATTCACAATTTGTTACAGATGTTGTTTGACTAAGCACTTTGATTGCTAGTTTTTATAATTCAAGAACACAAGTGTCATATATCATGCACCACTCAGCTGTATAAAATTATTTAAATTAAATTTAAATGTGCTATTCAATTAAATAATATAAATAAATTATAATTATTTAATTTACTAATTACCTGGATTCATTTGCTTTCAAGCTCTTTATGCTTGTGGAGTATCAAATGTTTCATGCTTATCTTGAAATAATAACAACTACATCAATTGAAAATACAATAATAAATGAATAAATAAAAAATAATTTTATTTTTAATACATAAAATAAATGTCAAAGCTATAAAATAGTATTAAATACAAATCTGATTAATCATTCTGATTAAAGTATCTACATAAGGCTCTAATTTTTTTATAACTATTATTGTACCTTTTAATGTTTCTTTAAGTACATTTGCAGAACGCTCCACTTCAAATTGAAATTATGGATTTAGATAATAACCTAAACATAATTCATGACAATAATCTATTAAAATAATAAAAAATAAATATATAAACAATTTAAGTATAAAAAATATACATATTTTTTAATACAATTTATATTCTTGGTATACTTACCAGCTGAATGTAAGTCAGAATGCATGAAACTCTATTTATTATCAATAATCTTTTCATATTTAGCAGAATAACAATAA